TCATTGAAACCCAGTAGGGTTCAAGGTAAATACTTGACACCAGGTGAGAGCTAGAGTTCAGGTCTGTCTTCGTTGAATACACACGGGCCGGTCATGTAGGGGAAAGGAGGGGGGGGGGGTCTTGACTTGACAAGAAGACAGTGTACTGATTAGGCAGGTAAGTGTCAGTTCTCTTGTCACGGTAGCGCTTCCATCTGTCACTAAGTTACGGTATATTACTTCATCCCCGCGCCGAAGTAGGTAAGATGTGTAATAAAAATTTGTGTGGTTTTGTTTATTTATTTTTTACTTCTTCTAAATGCAGTAGTTAAATATGAATGGCAAACATCTATATTATAATATATACTTATCAGAGAAAAATAATAATACAAAGGAACAACAAAACTTGCGCGCATAGACAAAATTAATGTTTCCGTTATTGATAAAAAGGATAGCCTTAATAAAGATATTGATATTTGTTTATTCATAATTTATTTTTTGCACACATACCTAATGTTTTATGTTTCTATAATTATCAAAACAAAGTTAATAAAGGTCTCGCTTTTATGACTCTGACTGTGTAAAGGGATTATAATATTTCTATCTTTGACAAAAATATTTCTTACATATCGACAAATTAAAAAAAAAACAAATGACTAAAATAGTAGATCGATTATGTCATGTACAAAAATAGAATTTGACTTTCGATTTGTGTTCTCTGCTTGGTGACGGTACTTGACGTTTATTAATTAATTAATTAATTAATTTATTTATTTATTTATTTATTTTCTTTTAAAAATATACCAGAGTTAGAGTATTAATTTCTCTTTTTGTTCAACAGTTAGATTAATCCTAAATAAATTAACAGAACGAAAGATGAACTCGAGATATCTCGGGTGTTTCTTTTCAAGGTAAAGATAAAAAGCAAGGGTTTCCGAATGCACACGATAAACGTAAAACACGATACACGATAGAACCTGATAAACGATCTTCAGATAAACGCAAAACCTGATAAACGGAAAACACGATACGATAGGATACACGCACGATACGACAGGATACACGCACGATACGATAGGATAAACGCACGATAGGACACGATAGAATTGTAAAGAATAACGATGCGGGTACTGTATCGGTATTAAATAGATGCTGTCATAAGACAGTAATATCCACACTTAGATTTTTCCTTCTAAATGTACTCACTTCATATTTAAGTAACAAGGGAAGAGGCAACAATAATTCTATAATTTACAAAAATGTCGATTATCAACCCCCAATCGCCCAGGTTGAAAATCAAAATTTCAAAACCTAAGTGCACAGCAACTGGACAAACCCAGACTTCTTCCAAAATATGATTGGGCTGCTATGAAAAATGTAACAGGAATTCAGGGAACTAGGTTTTGATGTTGTTTGGGACAATTACTCTGAAAAAAGACTCAAAATGTTTCACGATGAGACAGGCAGTTATGTGATATATTTTGGTTATAACTAAGCTTTACACAAGATATATTAATCATGCTTTAATTATACGACTTTCTTATAACTCGATACAATTCCGCAATATGTTTAGGCTTGATCATTCACGAGTAAATTTCATGCATTACAATGGTGGGAAGAAAAAGCACACTTAAAATTTAAAGGGTGATATAAGAATGCAAAGATTGGTAAATACAACAGAAAAGGAGAAGATAAAATAGGAAGGTAAGGTGAATCTTGGGACATAATTACAAATGGAGTATTTCTTGCTGAATTTTGTGAAATAAAATGCATTTGTAATCGGGGGCTTTTTGTTCCCATATATGAATATCTATAAAGCAAAATGAGAGTCGTCAGTTAGACTGTGAAAAACAAGATTTATCTGAGGTGAAAAAGTTCGCACCCTTGTTATGTAAGTGTAAAACAAGTAGCAATTGTAAATCCATACTACCTTGGACTATTTGGGAAATTGAGAATAGGACTAGAAAAACTGAGAAAAAAGGGAAAAAGAACATTAAATACAATGTTGAAAAACTGAAGAGACTTTACGAATGGGAGAGGAATTTCAAAATCAATTAAAGAATCGAATTGAAAATCTAGATACCAAAGGAAGAAGTCTTCAATAAAAGAATGGGATAGAGATCAAGACATTTTCAAAACGCATTGGAAAAATCCAGGGAAAATAATATATAAGGTAAAATGAAAGAATTGCTGTCATTAAATTGTGGCAGCAAGTTAAGGGAAATTATTAATAATGTGAATACAAAATTACACAAGAAGGAAGCTGCCTAATAAATACCAGAAGCTAGACAAAAAAGTCATACTGCAGAAGCTAGACAAAGAAGTCAAACTGCAGGCGAAAAAGATAATAATTGTAAAGAAGAGAGATGAAAAATCTCTGCATACAGTGAGAGAAATCATATTCCTATGTGTAACAAGCAAGATTCTAAATCGTGTTATTTCGAATATAAACTTCTGGAAATTTCAGAGGTGGGATCAGGTGCCTAAGAGGAGTAAGCATTCCCTGTCCATCGGTCACACCCGCCGTGAGCCTTATGTATTTATCAGGTGGACAGAATATTCTGTAGTCAAATTTAGTATGAAAACAAATGTCTAACAATTGATATGAAATATGTCAATCAAAATACGACCCATTGATGGGTTAAATTTGCTTATATCTTTTTCATTATAACGACACTAGAATTTACGAAATGCTGACAAGGTTCCCTGCAACATCAATTAATCTTGCTCAGCACATGCTCTTCAGTATCAAATAAGTTGGGAGACATAAACACCATATGCAGGTGATAACGGAATATTACTACATAAATAAGGAAAATTGATGAAGTCATCTCGTTTGTCATACAGTTACTTGTAAGTTGGCCCTGATCGTCTTTAGTCATTAAAACATCCAAAGATGAAACAGATGTTGCAGACCATGTGGAATCTTTTATTTTGAGTTCACTGGAATATACTGAGAAGACATTTGAATGGAAGTAACTATTGTTCATTGATACAAGGTCGTAAATGTATCTGAATGTCGAATTGAAATGTTTATTTTTTTCTTCTCGTGTAGAAATATTTTTGAGAAATGAACAAGCCAGATTTAGATCGATCATAATTTGTACATATACACCAAAAATTATAAAGCAGTCTGTAGAATGGCAATAGTTACTTTACATTATCTTCAACGATTTTGAAAAAGCGTTTGATATCGTCAATAGAGGAAGTCTGGAAACTAATGACATTTTAGAATGCTTGTTAAGATCGTCAATGATATAAAGTCTGTACAGTCTGAACTACAGATAATCCATAAAACAACTCTGACAGAATGATTTGCTGTAAGCACGGCTGAAACAGGGTTTCCCTCTATAGCCAACACCATTTGTGATAGCAATAGGCGGGGTAGCGAGATAATCCTTTGAGGAATGCAAAAGGAATTCAGTGCCCATTCGTTCAGAGATCAGACGACCTAGATTTTAAATAAGACCTTGCACTTCTACTTCACCCTTTAACAGACATGAGAGAAAAGATGAAACAGATGAGAAAGGTAAAAGATGAGGCTATTGATTTATACATATAAATGTACTCAGAAGATAAAGTTAGTGAGGGTCAAGACTAGAACGAAGGAACTGTTACATTCAAAGAATAACATATAGGAGAGGTCATTTAATTTTCATATCTTGGTTGTGTTATTAAGAAAACAGAATATCTAAAAACAAAATGAAATAAATCTTTTTATGGCGCAGAAATCTGACGATATTACGTAACTAAAACCTTCAAAAGAAAATCCTTGTTTTCAAAGAACAAGTGCTTACGATACATGTATTTGCAGTATTTGGTATCCTGGAATCATACCACATGGAGGCTTTGCATACAGGGATCATGCAAAGGTGCTTGCGGACAGACCCCCCCCCCCCCGAATATATACCTCGGATATTTCTATTTGTCTATTTCATAAATTATTCTTCTGGCACATTTACTATATTAAGGTATTTGACATGGATGATCATGCCAAATCTCGTGCTTGTCTTACCAAGTGAAATATTTCCCAACTGTCTGCTCCACTAAGAAAAGTTGCACCTGGATTTAAAACTTTTTTTTAGTTTTACCTTCATAGAATTACGCATAATGTTTTCTAAACTTTTTTTCTACAATCAGATCAAAACTATATGGAACAAAAATTCAAATAAATAAAAAAAATTAAAATCCTAATAAATTGATAGCGTTTTAAAAACTGTCAAATTTGTTTCCATCTGAATAATAAAATGAGTAATTAATTTCCAACTAAATATCACGTCTAAGACCTCCGTCCTTATCTTAAGATATTGTCACGATTTTTGCTTAACACTGCATTCTTTTATACGTTAATTAAGGGCATTAATTTTGATTTTTGGATACGTGTACTTTCTGATTGAAGATTGGAAATAATACATATGTGAATTATTCCTGCTAAATATATGATGCAAGGCAGTAAAAATAGTGTATTCCCACTTTCCACGTTCCAGTCACCGAAAGACAAGGTAGTATGTCATACAAGGTCATTGGGCGTCCCAATCCATGAATGATAAAGAAGTAACGATATATATATATATATATATATATATATATATATATATATATATATATATATATATATATATATATATATATATATATATATATATGTATGTATGTATGTATGTATATATATGTATATCAGGACTTTTGGATATACATTTTGTACTTATGAAGAATAAGCTACTTTTCAATCCACTCTTTTGTTTTAGTAAAGTTATTATGAAAAAAAGTTTAGTGAAAATTAAACAAATTGCACAATTTCTTCAAGTATGAATGACATAATCATGCCGATCTTTTTTTATGTAATTAAATTTCTTACTCATATCTTTATGGAGTAAGATATTAATTATAATAGTAGGCTGTGTTATGAAACACGTTTACAATATTAATAGCTTAGAAGCGTGCAGGTACTTAGGAAACCGCCGCACCTTTCAGATAAAATGACGCAGCTTTGAGAATCGCTTTAATGTTTTTATTTCGAAATATTTCTTGAACGTAAGGACACGGTCATGCATAATTCTCTTAAAACATTGAGTTTGGTCTTGAAGTTGTTTCTCATCTGTTTTTCTGTAGAGGGTTTCTTACTTCAGGATCATCAACCACATCAAAATGCATCAGACGAACAGAAGGCTCTCCAAATCTTGACTAGATTGCTCCCTTCTTTGACAACCCATCCAGGTAAGATACCCTATGACTATGTTCTCTTATTTCAGTTCGTAAGTACATGTATTAAGCCGAATTTGATCGTGTTTGGCATAAAGGTATCTTATTTAAGCTTAAAACATATGGGATTAATGGTTATTTGAATAAATGGTTAAAGAAACATCTAGAATGTAGATATCAAAGAGTGTTATTTATTATTTTGGTATCAGCACCTTAACCCATACATGCTGGTGTCCCCACGGGCTCAGTTTTAGTTCCATTTTTGTTTTTAATCTATGTGAATGATGTTGCTGCAGCTGACAATATACTTACTTAATTCCGACATTAAAGAAGGTTGTGAAACTCGCGGATATTCTCGCACGCGAATAAAAGTTGGTTATCAGGTCAGGGGTTCTGGAGCTAGGGTGGGGCTATATAGATCATATAGTGAAAATGCATTATTTCTGTGAAAATCTTCTTCTCTGCTCCTTGGCATTAAACAAACTAACTAAGTAAATACCGGTAGTTATGATCAGCAAGGGTGCCTCTTCCAAAATTGTGAATTTCATGGCCCCCCTGGGTCAGGGGTTCTAGTATTATGGCGGGGCTCTATTGATAATATAGTAAATATACATTACGTATTTGAAAATCTTCTTCTCTGTCCCTGAGTATTATTCAAACAAACTAAATAAGTGTATGGTTATGATAAGCAAGGATGTCTCTTCCAAAATTGTGAAATTCATGGCCCCAGGTTGTAGGTTCTGGTGAAAGGATGGGGGCTCTATTGGTTTATGATTATATGGTGAAAAAGCATAAATTCTTTGAAATATTCTTTTCTGCTCCTTGTTATAAAGCAAAATAAACAAAGTGTAAAGTTATGATGAGGAAGAGTGCTTCTTCTAGAATTGAGAGTTTCATGGCCCCTGGGTCAGTCGTTCTGGTGTAAGGGTGGGGTTCTATTGATTATATAGTGAAAATGCATTAAATCTGTTAAATAATCCTGCCTGCCCCTTAGTGTTGCGCAAAGTGCATAGTTATGATGAAACAGGATACTTCTGACAGAATTTTTAAAACTTGTGGTCCCAGGGTCAGGGGTTCTTGTGTTTTTCGGAGGGGAAGGGGGGGGGGGGGCTCTATTGATAATATATTGAAAATGTGTTAATTCTATGAAAACCTTCAACTAAGTGGATAGATATGATAATGAGGGTACTTTGTAATTTGTGATGAATTTCATGACCCTTGGTCATGAGTTTTGGTGACAGGGTAGGGCTGTGTTGAATCTGTAGTGAAAATGCATTATTTCTTTGAAAATCTTCTCTGCTCCTTGGCATATAGAAGGCAAACGAAAAAGTTTTAATATGCAAGGGTATTTTTACAAGATTTTTGAACATCTGGGCCATTTGGTCAAGTGTTCTGGTCCTGTCCAGGGCTCTATTATTTTGTATTCTACTTAGAGAAGTTATTCTCCTTTGCCATTCACTTTTGATAATTAATCACTGTAAATAATGTATTTGAAAGGTTAATAGAATAAGAAAATTAAGCAATTTTTTGGTATTATACAAAAGGTACTTTCATATTTTTAATGATCAGGTAGACTTGTAAATAATAGATAAATAAAAATGAGACAAAAATACCTTATTTTCTCTAATGATCTTCAAAGACCAAGAGAGGCCAATATGAGAGGTTACGGTACAATATGGGGTTAGAATACTACAGAATCACTAATAGTTTGTTGATAGTCTACATGGGGATAAGTCAAACATTTCATAGCTTTAACTGGCTTAAGTTAATTATTAAAGAAACCATAAAAAATCAATTTAAAAAAGAATGGAGAAGCATTGTTGATAGTTTACCCAAGTGTTTTAATTATAGAATTTTTAAAACAAACTTTGGTTTCGAAAAATATTTGCTGAATTTACCAAAAGATTTAAGAGTTACACATACAAAGCATGTAATCATCATTTGCCAATTGAAACAGGTAGATGGAATAATATTGATAGAAATTTAAGAATATGTACCATTTGTGATTGTATCAACAGGCAAAAGAGCTTCATCTATCACTTTATTTTATACTCCATGGATCCTCTAAATTGTTCTGTTATAACTCAGGTGACCTTCAAGGCCTTTGCAATTAGCCCGCCTCTTGTTTTTAATATTTTCATTCGCAATCATGAATATATATATATAATGCTAAACCCACACGTGAAATAAATTCCATTTCCAACTATAAAAAATTGTAAGTAATGTGAGTATCCATTTCTGTAATTCTTTAACACTGATAAAAGTTGAATCCAATGCAATTAACCAAGAATGATAGCATGATTTGTGTGTGTGTGTGTGTGTGTGTGTGTGTGTGTGTGTGTGTGTTTAATTTAAAAGGGTGATTTTTTTTAAATCCTTTAGGAAATGTCTCATCTAGTATTTGGTATTTTTACTTTGCTTGATGGTGAGCGTTTGTATTACAAACAAAAATTAAATATTTTGTTTCTGTTAGGTTGGATAAAAAAAGGAGCAATTCAGTTGGTTTATAAATTCTTACATGATAGACGAGTTCTAGCAGACTGCTCTAGATAAGACCTTAGTGCGAAAGCCAGAAAGTTCTTGATTTGATATGTATTAAATGCCTTTGTTTAAGTAAAACATTAGGTGACCTAAAATTTTGATTTTCATTTATTATCTCGACAAACATGAAAGTATTTTATCGCGATCTCAAAGTCACAGCCCAGAGCTGATATTGATAATGTTCTATAAGAAGAAGTAGGTAATACGTTTCTTACAGGCCTCTGCCAAGTGCTCTCGAAATGATCCTTCCTGGAGTATTTACACTATACAACCAATCATTTTTATTTTTCAGAAATTGTTGTGAATGAGATTTGCAAGGCTTACCCTTCTCTCATCTTTCCACATCTGGGTGAGTGTCAGTTGTACTATAATTGTTCTATGACGTACTCACCTGTCCCAAGCAATATGGAACAACACATGATGGAATGTACATACCCAGATCTCTTCTCTGAGAGAACTCTTCAGTGTGAAAATTTTACTGACGTCTGCTGTGGTGCAAGACAGGAAATTAAAGACAAATGTAAGATGCATTTAAAGTAATTCAATTTACATCATTTCAAATGCCAAAAAATAATAAAATTTTATATATATATTGTATGTGTATCGTACGCTCTGTTGTGGAATATGCAGTGTAATTAAAACAAGTGGTTCTAAAGAAAAAGATCCATGTTTAGATAATCTATAACAAATTTCTGTGCTAAACGTACTTTTTCTATACATTAAAGGCTCATATCGGATGGAAAAAACCAGAGGGCAATGCTTTTCTCCATCATGTGTAGGAAAACTAGATGGCATGATAGGCACAACATGGAACTCGTATATGATATGTCTCAAAGAACGCCTGCTGGGTGTGGGATCTTGTGACACTGAGGAATTACCCTATAAGGGAAAATGCACAAGTCGGTTAGAGGTACCTAAATCGGAGCATAATGGAGGTCTTTTACCGTCGTGCGAAAAAAAAGTTGATGGCATTTATCGATTTATTGGTGACAGTTCAGTAATGAATTTTGGAGATTACATTAGAATAGGTCATGTTTGTGATGCCTACTATAGATGTGACAGTGGTAATATAACTGTTGTCAGGTGCCCTAATGGGACAGTGTTCCACTCCGATGTCGGTGTTTGTAAATTTGGTAATTCTTCTCTTCCCGAATATTGCCAATTGTATTGTAATCCATATAGGTCGAAAAAGTTTAATGGATGTTTTCCACCGAGAATTGCAGAATGTCCCCCACCGTTACAGTTTTCAGAGAGAACAAAACAATGTGAGAATTTTACTGAAGTAAATTGTGGATCACGCACGGAAATTAAATATTACTGTAAGTAACTTTTTGTCCCCTGCTTTCATTGAAAGTGGGGGAAATTAATTTGGGTCTGTCTGTCCGTCCTTCCGTCCGTCTGTATTTATGTCCGTCTGTAACACTCTCGTTTCCGCACGATATCTCAAGAACCCTTTGAGCTTTCGCAATGAAATTTTGCATAGCAACTCCCTATCGCCTAAAGAAGAGGTTTTTTGAGGTCAAAAGGTCAAAGGTCAAGGTCATAAATTCTGTCTGTTTTAACACTTTCGTTTCTGCGCGATATCTCGAGAATCTTTTGAGCTTTTGCAATGAAATTTTACATAACAACTCCCTGTGGCCTAAGAAAGACCCCTATTGATTTTGAGGTCAAAAGGGCAAAGTTCAAGGTCGTAAATTCATACACTCCGTGTGTAACACTTTCATTTTCGGGCGATATCTCAAGAAGCTTTTGAGGTTTTGCAATGAAATTTTATACCATAACTCCTTGTGGCCTCTCTCGCCCCTCTCAAGGTGTCCCGCCCCTTTTTTTTATTTATTGTATTAAAGTCGCTTGGCACTATTTTTAGCACAGGAGCATGTGGAGAGTTATTACGTATAACGCAGGTTGTCGGCGGACTTTACACTCTAATTACATCTATTAGAACTGTTTAGTAAAGGCTAAAATAGACACCATGTATTGTGTAAAATTTGACAATATCGAACGTGAATAAAAATATTATATGTGATCTAATGTTTGCATTTAATTTGCCGTATAATTAAGTGCCTATGTGGTCTAGGGGTATGATTCTTGCTTAGCAAGCGGGAGGTACCGGGTTCAAATTCCAGACGATTTTTTTTTTTTTTTTTGATTTACTAAATGATAGTTTTTTGTTTGTTTGTATGTTGTTTAACGTCCGTCTTGAGAATTATTCACTCATATGGAGACGCCACCACTTGCCGGTGGAGAGCTGCAAATTTTGTCCTATACTCGGCACTTACGGCCATTGAGCAGTGAGGGATCTTTTTCGTGCCAACACCTACTGTGACACGGGATCTCGGTTTATACAGTCTCATCCAAAGGACCGGTCTCCACGTCCCACAGTGGGATTCGAACCCGCAACGTAAGGATCGACTCATTACGCCGCGACTCTAGAGCGAACGCTCTAACCACTGCGCCACGCGGGCGACCTGAATGATAGTATTCAACATGTGAAATGAAAAAGTTATGACGTCTGGCGTGTACAAACTCATAAAATGATTATTACAGTGTGATAAATATTCTATATAAAAAGAATCTTCTATACACATATTAAAGAATAAGCATTCAAATCTTTATATCCATATTGGCATTTTCTATTTCCTTCAATATACATGTATACATTTAATAATTCTACAAATCCGGGGGGGGGGGGGGTCCGACCGAACTGCGCATGCTCTTCTTTATTCCCTAAGCGGGGGACACAAATTCTCTGAACTAGCTTGTTTAAATATGCAATTACGCATCTTTGAGATGCAAGGGGTTTGAGTTTCCATTAAGCATGAGTTTTCCAGAATTACTATGACAATTTTAAGCCTGTGTCATATTTACTCAAACAAAACAAAAATGTATCAGAACATGTATGCAAAGTATTCCATTTTGCAACCTAAGAACACCATAAAACATCAAAAAACAATAAACACAATGCCTTGATTACCTAGTAGTCTACTTGTGTGTAGACACCTGGGGCCATAATTTAATATCCCTCACCCTAACACTAAAACTGTTTTGAATCTATAGCAAAAGTGCATTATTTTTCTGAAAATCTTCTCTGCTCCTGGGCATCTAGGAGGCAAACAGAGTAAAACTTGTAAAAAGCAAGGGTATTTTGTCAGATTTTTTCTGGACCACTTGGTCAAGTTTTTTTGGTGCAGGCCAGGACTCTATTAATTTGTATTTTACGGAGAAAAATTATTCCTCTTTGGTTTTCATCTATGATAATTAAACACTGTAAATAATGTATTTGAAAGATTAATAGAATAAGAAAATTATACAGGATTTGTTATTGTCTGATACAAAAAGTATTTTCAGAGTTTAAAATATCAGCTAGAATTGCAAATAATACACAAATAAAAATGAGACAATAATAACATATCTTATAAATGTTCTTTAAAGACAAAGAGAGGCCAACGTGAGAGGTAATAATGTGGGGTTATTAATAGCTCTGAAGCACTATTGTTTTGTTTAATATGCATGGTGATAGTGATAAACGGGGGAAAGTAGAACAACAAAATGAGTTGTTACTTAGTACTTGATTAATTATTTCGTTGATCCTGATCATCATATTTCTTTTGCATTTGGGCAACAAAATTTTTAATCTTCATCTATTTGTTTTCTTTTATTTTAAAGTCAATCTATGGAATCTTTACAATATCACATTATACTCAGGTAACTGTTAAGGCCCCTGGGCCTTTTGTCCAATTTTCACTTTTCACTATATAATCAATTAAGCCCCCCCCCCTTTTTACCAGAACCCCTGACCCTGGGGTCATGAATTTCGCAACTTTAGAAGAGACACCCTTGCTCATTATAACCATATGTTTAGTATGTCTGCCAAATACTAGTACCCAAGAGCAGAGAAGATTTTCAAAAATTTAATACATTTTCATTATATAATTTATAGAACCCCGCCCTAACACCAGAACCCCTGACCCAGGGGCCATGAAATTCACAATTTTGGAAGAGGCACCCTTGCACATCATAACGGTGCTATTAGTTTGATTAATACCTAGGAATAGAGGGGATTTTCAAAGAAATAAGGACCTTTCACTGTATGATCTATATAGCCCGCCCTAGCACCAGAACCTCTGACCCTTGGGCCATGAATTTTTCAATTTTAGTAGAGTTCTCAATACTTATAATGCTTATTACACAGGTTGGGTAAAATACCTTTCCTTTTATGGAAGGCATTTTTCATCACGTGAAGATATTTTCGTAAAACCCATTCTCCAATTTAATGAACGAGTCGCAAAGCATGACGGTCTACTACGTGTTTACGATTTATCAGCTACATGTGGTTTTCGTCCTTATAGTGCATAAAATATTTAGTTGGTCATCAGAAAAAATGTATTAATTCTTTTTCACTTCATTCGGCTGAAATTAAAAGATTGTATACCATAGACAATGTTTCATACTCACACTGGATATTGGAGTTGTTTTAGATGATTAATGGTTGTGTCAAATACCGTCTTAATTCGTTGATGTATGCATTACATTTTGAAGATAATGAGTAGTAAAACAAATATTGCACACGTTTAGATCTAAGAAAAATATCTTAGATACAAGATCTTGTTTTCGACATACATGAATAGATATATGTAGATGCACAAATGCACTCAAAGACAGAAAAATACGTTTTTTTGTTGTTTGTCAACAAAAAGCATTAAGATTTTTTTCCATTATTTCTTCACGCCTGATACTCTTATGAAAATCAAAAAATTGCATTTTTAGTCGCAAATGAGTATCATTTGTTAAAAAGGGCATTGGCATATATATGTTCATAATACTATTACCAAGAAAAAGGCTTTATATTCTAAACATTTTGTAAATTACCATTAAAAAACATCAAGTCGCATTCTTTCAATTTATGTTTTCTTCTTTGCTCTCTAGAACCACGTGAGAAACACACTCATTGCTTGTTCTACACACAAATGCACGTCTCTTTGAACAATATTTTACGCCATATTTAAACAAGTTCATATAAGGCTTGATAAACCAAATTTTGTACATGTGAGCATAGATATGAAAGATCATACACCATTTCAATATCTATTTCATAATTATCGAAAAAGAATGGAAAATGAGTTTCCAAATGAAAATCAAAATTAATTGCTATTCATTTTTTCAATACACTGTTCGTACTAAAATTTGTAGTAGCCCATAATGCATTGCAACTCATTCAGCTGATTGGTCATTCGACAAAGTAAACGGATAGCTGATTTAACATTGCAAATATATGCGGACATCAGAAAATTTAGTGGCTTCGACCTGTTACAATCCTGCCAACAGTCTGACTTCTTGATGTCAAGGAGTAAAGATTTTTAAAGATTGTATGAATTTTGATAGATTTAGTTCCACCCTCAGACACTAGGTAGGCAGGAACCAGGAAATTCACATTTTGTGTTCCCCTTTACCCATAGATGCTATATGCCAAAATTGGTTGTAATTGGTTCAGCGGTTTCAAAGACGAAGTTGTTCAAGTATTAACGCACGACGAACGACGAGAGACAAAAAAAGGGACGGCAATAGATGACCTAGAAATCGTTCGGACAAATAGATATTTGAAAAATAGATATTAGATATTTGTTCGGACGAATTTTATATTTGTTCTAGACAAATTAGAAATTTGTTCGGACAAACTAGATATTTGTTTGGACGAACATATTTATTTGGACGAATAAGAAATTCGTTCAAACAAATAAATTCATTTGGATGAATTATATATTTTGTTCGGACGAATTAGTACTTTGTTGAAATTCACAGATTGCACAGACTGTCCTATCCTTAGGGATTTATATCTGCGGATCTAGCAGGAGTCATCTCCTAATATATATTACAGAGAGAGCTAAATCTATTTTTTTAAGGTTCCTCGAATATCTGTTGTTTTTTTTTTTTTAACTCATCGTAATTAACCAAAAATATTTGTAGGTATAATTATTTTCTGATTTCTAAACATTTCAAAATGTCTGCAAAAGTATATGAACCAAAATGTTATAATATTTTTGATAAGATTATAGAGGAAATACCATCCTCCGGAACCTTGCACCAATGACTAGTAATGTACCTCGATTTTTCGTGAGGAAACTTCTTAAAGTAAATACTTCAATCACAAATTCTTGGAAAACATTATACATTATTGAGGAAAGTTTCTTCTGACCCTAAATCCATACACACATTGCTGTTTGGACCAATGTCATACAAAAATTGTAACAAAACATGAGATATTGAAGTCAGGTAAGTTGATTAATTCCGATTATCAGGAATGCTAATACTATATATAGCCAAGCTCTCACCAGAGGGCGTATTACGCTACGCTACAACAACAGTTAGTGGAGCGAAGCAGGAACGATAACTCTGGGTAGAGATTGATATATAGCATGTCTATTAGGTCTAAAGTCTGCAGTTGTGAAGGTACATTATTTCAAAAGCCATCTAATCTAAAGGTTCCTCTACTCCAAAATTTATTGAGTAAATCAAATACAGTTAAATTGTGAAGATTAATATAAATTATTTGACTATATTTACCAAATCATTTTTTTTTCAGGTAACTACTGGTACATTTCATACCTTTACCGAAATGGCGGGCACTGCTCTTATGATCACCCAAAAGCTTGTTTGCGTCTACCTAATGGTCTATTTAAACACCCTTCCTCCTTCTCACAAAAAGCATTTATTCGATGCTATCAAAATAGGTTAGTGGAAGAAGGTCAGTGTTCATTTGACCCAGTATGGTTTGAACAAACCTACCCTTACAATGGTTCATGCACACAAAGGTTTGCTATACCGGCATCTGATCTACAGGGAGTAGGACTACTTCCGGACTGTACCGGAAGACCAGATGGCAGTTACCAGTTCATAACGAGACCATGCGATGCATACTATAGATGTGACAGCGGGAACGCCACAGCGATCAAATGTCCTGATCACACTTATTTTGACAAAAATAGTGGCAGGTGTTCTTCAAATGCTGCATGTTAAAGTTCGATGAAAGATAGATACTGTAGATGAACGACACCACAAAAACAAATAGAACACGAAAAAACAATGTAGCTGTGAATTTCAAATCAGCAAACAAATCATGCTTAGTGATAAAGTATCACCACCACCATGGCCTTTTCTTCTACACTGGAAAAAAACGTATAAGTTGTAAAGTATCAAGATATATGGACAATACATAAATACAGGTAGGTCTGGATTTGAGAATCAACAGTATGTCTATTGATGCACCCAGCCCTATTGAATATCTTATAACAATTTACATATTTATCAAAATTGAAATTCAACCGACTGATTAATACAGCTTTTAAATTAACCCTAGACTGTACATTACCCACACCTACATGTATACAAGTGAAATGAATAATAAAGATTGATATAATGTGTCCCTTATGTATTATTTTTTTTATTACTTGCAATGGGAAACAAGCAAATTCAAAGAATTGTGGTCCCTCGCTTTCGGTGTCTTAGTGGATGGGATGCCATTATTTATGGCATAATGTAACTTTCTTGTTTGTGTGCCTTGTCTTCATATAAAAAAGACATAAATCATTGAATTAATAACAATTATGGCAAAGATTATAGCTTCTCAAAAATATTTCAAACTTCAAGATCAAAGTCATGAAGTCAAATATCATAATACATAATATGAAAGCCATATCTTCTCCCATTCAAAAGGTATTACAAATGTTAAATTAATTGAAAAAAAAGACTGAGGATTAAATTTTAAAGTCAGGGTCACGAGGTCAAAAACCAGAGTTTACAATCGGAAAGGTCTTGAAACAGATAATGCACATGTCAGATTTAAATGCCATATCTACTCTCAATGGAAATTTATCAGCAATGTTAAAATTTTAGAAAATTAACGTCAAGGTTATGGGGTTAAAAATCATAGAACATTTGGAAATGCTTGTCACGTGTCAAATAAGAATGCCCTATCTTCGCTCTTTCAAAAGTAAGCAACACTGATAAAATGTTTGAAAATAAGGTCAAGGTTACAGGTCAAATATTATAGAACATCGTAAACATTTTGCCACAGGTAATGCACTTGTCAAATATGAACGTCGTATCATATTTCAATCAAAAGTAATCACCAAAGTTAATTATTTTGAAAATTAGGTCAAACATGAAGGTCAAGGGTAAAAAATCATAGCATGCTCGGAAACATCTTGTCACAGGTGATGCACATGTCAAAAATGAAAGCCCTATTTTTTTCCCTATCAAAAGTTATAAGCAAAAATAAAATTTTTGAAAAGTATTTCAAACTTCAAGGTCAAGATAAGAGGGTCAAAAGTCATATTATATTTAAATAGGTCTTGTCTCAGGTAATATACATGTATAATATGAAAGCCCCATCTTTTCTCATTCAAATTTTATGACCAATTTAAAGTAATGTTAAATTTTTTGAAAAGTAGATCAAACTTACCTATCTCTTCTCATTCAAAAGTTATAACCAAGGTTAAAGTTTTTGAGACAGACTGACAGACGAATGAGATTTAATGTCCCCTAGCTTTCGCGAAAGCGGGTGACAATAACCTTATAATAAATATATGTGTTTTCGTGATACTTACGTATACAGAAATGCATTTCTACCTGAGAAAAAAATCATGTACATGTAGTTGATAATTCTTTGCAATACAATGTACTTACAAGGTGAAATGTTAAAATTTCACAAGTCTTACATGCACACTGTTCAAGAGGAGAATTTTAGATATAATTACAGGTATATAAATTTATCAGAAGTTATGAAGAAAAAAACAATTTGGGAAGAATTTAAAATCTGACTGCAATTTCTTGAGACTGCAGGCTTCAACTGTAAAGGTCTCATGACAAACCTTGAGGGTTGTTTCCTAAATCAGTTGTGAGACTTTAGATTTTTCCCCTTTTCCCCCTTTTCATTTCCCCCTAATATATCTACAAGACTGAACACAATTAAGCCTCAATGCTGGATTTTGTTTTCTTTTTAGTTTGTTTAGACTTGTTTCACACTTTGGGTAATACAAGCATGTCTTTGAGCCAATCCTAGCGTCATATTTGAATGGGTTTTTTTTTATTAGAAAGTCAGTTCTTTTTTTGGTTCAGACAGATCATTGTACATTTTGATGCTTTAACAGGCTGAGGAAACTATTTTCTTTGACGTCAGAATAAATTTACATGGTAAATGAGGCACCCAACGTGAGTGGCAAACTGACCAATCAGCTAAATGAGTTGCATTATGGGTTACTACAAAAAATACTACATGTACGTTTCGAAAAGGCCAGTTTTTGAAATCGCTCTCGAAGAGACATAATGCATTTTCCAAGCATTTTACACACTTAATATAATATGCACATCATTATCTACTAGTTCCATGCTCACATTTACATACAAATGTTTTACAACAGTAAAATTTGGATTTTCTCCACTCCATTGTATAAGTCCATTTGTTGACAATAGCCTGGCAGTTTTTCCCGTGCTGTACTATCAGTCAGTATGAATTTCACGTGACTATTCCTTGGTCCAAAACAAATCGACTCAGGTGTACTCACGTATTGTCATTGTTTACTACGTATACAACATCGATATATATGCTACTCAATACACGATCTATGATCAATGTACATGAGAATTAAAATACCGTACAGCAATAGACTTACGTTTTTTATAACTGCATTAACTTTTAATTTCTAGTAAACAAATAACAAAGTAACAACGAATAACACCAGTAGCATGGCAAATTTACGAATGTCAAGTTATAAAATCTGGGTTCTTATTTACTTGTGAAGACTTTGTGAGCGGTATTTCAACGTACTATTTAACACGGAAAATTGACTTTGTTTGTGAATGTGAGCATGGAAAATCTTAATTAGAACCTATTCTTCGTGTTTTTCACAAAAACATTAAAAATAATTATTAGTTGACTTTCCCGCAGTCATTTGAAATCGCGTCCTAAATTTGCCTGACCCACGTGCTTGTAGTAAAACATAATCATGTAGTAGACCATCATGCTTTTCGGCTCATTCATTGGATTGGACGATTGCTCGCTGTAAGTACCTCTGTGCGCAATGACAACAATATCCATATATGGTAGATTCCTCGACCTGTTTAAGAAGTCTTCATCTTGTATAGACTCTACCACAGCCCCGTTGAATGTTAAGTCCCAGTATACACTTTTGAAACTATTCACTACCGAATGCCTCCGTCGGACATGTACACACTTTAATCTTGAAGTCTGTGAAGGCTCTTTATTTGGTGGTTCTCTATAAGAAAAAAATCATACATTCTCAGCATTTCTTCCAGAAAAGTTAAGCTCCTTAAATGATTCTAAACTTTCAAGAGTCTTAAGCTTGGCATTTATCTACTTCAAACTACTTAAAACTTCATTATCACAAGTAAAAAATAAATTACACACCAAATCTTTGTAGAAAAAAATAAATAAATACATCTGAGTGTCAATCTAAGTTTTCTTTTTTTTAGTAATGGAGATTTTGTACCCCCAAAAGAAATAAAAACTGGGCAGCTTTATTTTAAAATGAAATACAGTACATACAGGAAGGTTGTAATTACCATAGAATACATGTAAAAGTTTGCATTGATGTTAACTGCAAAACTTTAAAGATAAATAATTCATGAAACCTGATACGTTCATTCTCTTCCAGATTCATTTAATACCTTGGAACGCTAGCATTTGGCGGATGATACCTTTTATTATAAACATCATGCACATGCTTTTAAGGAGCTATATAAGTACAGATTTTTCAATCGAAACTTATCATCTCTTTCTGGTGTTCTTTAAGAGTAGTTCAAAAAAATCTAAGGGTTATGGTCATTGTTTTCTGAAACCAATGAGCAAAACATTCTATGAAGTATGGCTATGAATTTCAAACGAATATGTCAATCACAATAAAGTTTTTCCCCATTGAGAGCCTTAGTCTCAAATGAGATGAAGTTCAAGGCCACGTAATCATAGAAGTTTGTGTCTTTTCATAGTTCAGACGCGAGTTATGTTAGGCCCTTCTTTTCGGATTTTATCAATTAAATTTTTCACTGGTTTTGTAACAGGTGGATTTTAGCAATATCGCTATTCAGAACACGTGTTCTTTTGCGCTTTTTCCCATGTGGGAATATTATAGCGTTGCACATTTTGTTTCACACACGTGTTGATCACGATGTGCAGTACTTGTTCAGTGACGTCACTGATGCAGGGACTGTTAGCCCCTTGCGCCATTTGCTTTTTCATGCCATGTGGCATAGGCGTCGGAAGCAAATTGAAAGTGGGGTGGCTAATTGAAAGTGGGGGGGGGGGGGGCTAAACCAACGAAAAAAGATAAGCCCCAATTTTCAATGCCTATGTTATGTCTATCTTTGCAAAAAAAAGTGGGGGGGGGGGAGGCTAAGCCCCCCTACCCCCCCCCCCCTCCCCCCTTCCGACGCCTATGTGTGGTGTGGTCTTAGCATTTAATAAGAATCAGATTTTCACTGTATTCTTTCTTTATCGTCATGGCTAATGGGCTGGTGGACTTCGTAGATCAAGTTGACGAGGATGCTGTTCGTAATGATCACACGATGCAATCGAAGTCGAATTCGACAACAGTTGCCATGCAGAGTAATAATTCTGTGAATGGTATGTTTGACATGTTTATGCGTAACTTTGCAGATATGTCAAAAAACTATGTCATTAGTTCAAAAAAAACTTATTGCTTTGAAATCTGATCGGTCCTCAGTGGATACAAGTCCGGACTTTTCGAGGAAACGCGGACTGAACAAGAGTAGTTCGCCACCTCGCAAGAAAACAAAACTGTCTAAAGTTTGTAATCGGCCTTCTCACGAACTTAGCGATGATGAATCTGATGAAGAGAATTCAGATAAATCGGATGCCTGCCGATGACGCACTCAATTCCCTTACTGAGGGAGACGATAGTATTCATGGTTTATCAGATGATGATGAAGTCTCTGCTCTTAATGAACTGTCAGAATTTTTCGGTGATGAAGACAAGACAAGCGAGCCGTTAAGTTCTAAACTGGCAAAGATAATGGCGAAAACGTTCCTGACGAAAACTAACTCAGAGAAAATTAAAGAAATCTCCAACAAGTATGATAGGCCAAAAAACATTAACAATGTTTCTGCACCAAAAGCAAAGTCATATGGGAAAACATGTCATCCAAAAACAGAACAAGTGACATTAAATTACAGACTACCCAGAATCTTATAGGAAAAGCAATGATTCCGACATTGAGACTGTTTGATATGCTCATTAATTGCAACTCGAAAAAAGGGTTGGTTGATGTGAAGAAGGCAAAACAGCTGTGTGGTGACATCTTGAAGTTTCAGAAATGTGTTTTCCATAACTTGTCTTGTCGCCCGCGTGGCGCAGTGGTTAGAGCGTCTGCTCTAGAGTCGCGGCGTAAGGAGTTGATCCTTACGTCGCGGGTTCGAATCCCACTGTGGGATGTGGAGATCGGTCCTTCGGATGAGTCCGTATAAACCGAGGTCCCTTGTCGCAGTAGGTGCTGGCACGAAAAAGATCCCTCACTGCTCAAATGCCGTAAGTGCCGAGTATAGGACAAAATTTGCAGCTCTCCACCGGCAAGTGGTGGCGTCTCCATATGAGTGAAAAATTCTCGAGAGGGACGTTGAACAACATATACAAACAACATAACTTGTCTTACAAGAGGCGGGAACAAATTATCCAGCCTGAGAAAAACAAACATTTTGTTAGTTTATGTTCCGCAGAGAGCTCATCAGAAAATTTATTTGGAGACGACTTGGGCAGTCAAGTGAAGAATGTCCTAGAGGCAAAGAAACTTGCGCAAAAGATATCGAACAAAGATTATGGTGGGAAATACAGGATCCCCAAACTCTCCCATAGCTACGGGAAGAAGCCAAGGCATGGGGCTGGAAAGAACAATTTTTTGGCCAAACAGTTCAGTTTCAACAAGAAAAAGAAGTGGGAGTCAAATCAGTAGTTACACATGATGTTAGTATGTCTAATATTTGTACAAATGTAGATCAATTTGTATTGAAGAACACACCTGAAAATTTTACTGCAGGCAAAATCAAATTTTTTTTACACAATTGGTGTAGATTGAATCATGATAGTTGGATTCTTGATGTAGTTAAAGGTTATAAGATAGAATTCAAATATGAACCTTTTCAATTTCATGTACCAAATTCCCTAAAATTTTCTGAAATTGAATATGAAGCAGCTCACAGAGAAGTAGAAAAGTTTTTGAAGAAGAAAATTGTGGAAAGGGTTCATGTGAATCAGAATTTATGTGAGAATTCTTTTTATTCAAATATGTTTCTGCGTCCCAAGAAAGATGGGTCTTTTAGAATAATTCTGAATTTAAAAATTTTTAAATGAGTTTATATTTGTTGACAATAATCATTTCAAGATGGAGACCTTAAGGTCCGCATTATCTTTAATTGAACCAAATTGTTGGTTTAGTTCACTTGATATCAAAGATGCTTATTATTCTGTGAAAATTCATGAATGTTGTAGACAATATCTTAGGTTCAAGTGGGAAAGTAAAACATATCAGTTTACCTGTTTACCAATGGGACTAGCAAGTGCTCCACGTATTTTTACTAAAATCATGAAGCCTGTTTTTTTCTGAACTTAGGAAATTTGGTCATTACATAGATGATGTTATGTTATTGGGCAATACAAAAAATGAGTGTGAAGTTAATTTAAGAGACACTGTTAAGTCCTTGGATAGTCTTGAATTTACCACTCATCCAGACAAATCTCAGTTTTATGCAAGCCAGAATGTTGTCTTTTGGGGATTTTTATTAGATTCGGTTACAATGACTGTTAGACTTACACCAGACAAAGCACAATCTATTAAAGATTTCTGTGATATGGTTTGAATCAGAATGAAGTGACAATAAAACAGGTGGCACAGCTTGTAGGCATGTTTGTAGCCTCTGAACCAGGGGTAGAATATGCTAGACTTTAATTATTATAAGACCCTAGAAATTGAAAAAGACTTGGCTTTAAAACTTAATCGAGGTAATTTTGAAGCCCATATGACTATTTCTCATCAGAGTAGGACATTACTAAACTGGTGGTCCCTGAATGTGTGTAAATCTTTTAAATCATTAACTAGAAACTCTCCAAAATTTCTTTTCAAAAGTGATAGTTCCAAGTTTGGATGGGGTAGAGTTAATGAAGATTCAGGTGAAGCAATTAGTGGGTTATGGGACAAGAATATTTGTAGAGTTACACATTAACTATTTAGAGCTTTTGGCTGGTTTTTATACTCTAAAAGGGTTGGGAGAGAATATTAGAGACTCCCATGTTAGACTTTGTATGGACAATGAATATTAGAGACTCCCATGTTAGACTTTGTATGGACAATTCAGTTGCTGTTTCATATGTTAACAAGGAAGGGGCAAGATCTCAACATTGAATGAACTAGCTCGTGAATTATAGATTTGGTGTATAGATAGAAACATCTGACTTAGTGCAGAACATGTCCAGGGTGCAACAAACATTATAGCTGATTCGTTATCTCGCCATAATGTAGACATGGAATGGAAGTTAGATGAAGTGGTTTTTAATAAACTGACAAATCTGTGTGGAAATTGTGATATAGATTTATTTGCATCTAAGGACAATCAACAGTTAGAGAAATATTATTCATATACACCAGACCCAAATGCTGTAGGAGTTGATGCTTTTGCACACTCTGGAGAAATATTTCCTCCTTTTAGTGTCATAAGCAGTGTATTGAAGAAAATCAAGGAGGAAGAAGTGAAGTTTGCTCTGTTGATAGCTCCAGTGTGGAAGACAGCATGGTTTCCGCAGCTGATGCATCAAGTTGCATGTCCGTGTTATCTTCTTCCGAAAACAGAGATCCTCTTGCCAAAGGATCCAGAACGACGACATCCTTTGACAAAGATGAAGATGGGTGCGTTCAGTTTGTTCGGCAATGCTTGTATAGTAGAAAGTTACCATAAGACACTGTCAATATTATCTGCGGATCTTGGCGGGAATCCACAAAGAGACAGTATAGGGGTTATCAACAAAAATGGTTGCAGTTTTGTTGTGAAAAACAGAGTGATCCATTTAAAGCAGATGTTAATTAAGTTTTAGAATTTCTTACAGATCTGTATAAGAAAAATCTTGGTTATAGTGCTTTAAATACGGCAAGAAGCTCGTTAAGTTCATTTTTGTCTCTTTTGGGGCACTGTAGTATGAAACTTGGTGATCATATTTTAGTTAAACGTTTTATGAAGTGTGTATTTTTGTCAAGACCAACTTTACCCAACATATCATTTTACATGGGATTTAAATAAAGTTTTAGGATATCTTAAGACACTGTCTCCTGTACAGGATTTGTCTTTGTTTCAGTTGTCAAAGAAATTGGCAATGTTACTAGCTTTATTATCTGGACAACGAAAACAAGGTTTACATCTATTAGATGTTAGAAATATTTCTGTAAGAGATAATATGTTAATCATTAGATATGGTGACTTGCTGAAGCAATCAAGACCAGGGCATCATTTAGATGAAATTTCTATTGTTGCTTATCCAAATGATACAGATTTATGTATAGTGCATGTATATAGGGAATATATTCATAGAACTGAAAAATTGAGAGGTTCAGAATGTACACTGTTTATAAGTACCCAAAAGCCTCACAATTCGATTTCTGTGGATACTGTTGGTCGCTGGATCAAGTCAGTTATGACAAATGCTGGAATAGTCATGAACCGTTTTTTACCGCATAGTACTCGATCAGCAGCAACTATTGCTGCAGCAAAAGCTAAGGTGTCTGTTGCTACAATTCTTAGAACAGCAGGTTGGACAAGTGACAGTACCTTTAGAAAATTTTATGATAAACCAGATAAACTGTGTAGTGAATTCAGCAATGCTTTGTTGGACAATTTTCATGAGGATAACTTGTAGCATATTATATACTAGTATGTTAATATGTTCATTGATCTGACTTGGAAAAAATAAAGTTAATTCAAACATTTGTTTGGGACTGATTTAAGATGTTAATAATGGTTTTGTGATGTATTTATTATTGTGTCATCAACTCTGAAGTCTCGTTTGGGACTGAGGCTCTCAATGGGGAAAAATTATGAAGTTAAACGAGACTTACCTGGAAGGTGAAGTTTGACTGAAATTTTTCCTCCATTGAGAGACGTAGGGATCAAATGCCCAGCCCTAAAAAGTTTTAATTCCTAGTCCCACCCTATGATTGTGTTAACTTGATGCCCCAATATTTATTACTACTCCTCTGAATTATGATTACGTGACCTTGAACTTCATCTCATTTGATCCATACGTCTCTCAATGGAGGAAAAATTACAGTCAAACTTCACCCTCCAGGTAAGTCTCGTTTAACTTCATAATTCTCAATCATGAGTTATACTTTTGAATCTCCGTTTTATCTATAAATACATATAAAATATGTAACCAAGGTAGATTATATGATGAACTGTACTCAAACCAAGTAATTAGGTGTTTTGTTTTAACATAATCATATTTTCTCTTGAGTGTCTCCTTTAAAATTATAAAAACCTCTTGCACAGGGCAACCACTAGGTGTCTAGTCCTGAAGAAGATCTAGGAGGGAAACATCCTCCCCTATGCTCAAAATTATTGTACATATGGGTACCACTTTGAAAGCTTCTCTTCATTCAGAAAGTTTCAATACTCAGTATTAAATACACAGATCAAGCAGCATTTCTAGGAAGAGATGAATAATGAAATTATGATATTTTCGGCTTTTTTAAAAGGGGATTGCGATTGCCTCCAAAGCACGGCCTTTATGTATAATTTCTGTATGGAAAGATATGGCGCTGTGCTACCGGTATGTCGTTATGCATGCCCTCTTAACTACAGAGGGATGTGCAAGCAAACAAACATTTAATATGCTAGAATACTAGTTTTACATAGATATTTAGGATTCAGCGCACTTCTTAGATAAAATTACACAATTTTAAAGAATGGTTTCATTTTAAAACATTTCCTACACAAAAGGAAACGGTCATGCAAATTACATTGAAAACACTGAGTTCGGCCTTATTTCTTTTCTGTTACTCTACAGAAGCTTTCTTAATTCAGGATCATCCACCACACCAAAATGCCTCAGGAGAACAGAAAGTTCTCCAAATCTTGACCAGATTGCTTCCCTCTCTGACAGCTCATCCAGGTAAGGTATTCTAAGATAAAGTTATATTATCTTATATCATTTCAAAAGTATTTTTTGAATCCTTCATAAAGGTTTAAAAACAGTTGTTTTTGCAGAAATCCTTGATTTTGAACAAAGATATCTACACATGCTATCAATTTTTTAAGGAATAACACCAAAGGCGTTTATGCATAGAATTATCACGTAAGCCAATTGCTTGATCATCATCATAAAACCAAAGAACCTGACAGTTATTCCTTATATTTACATGATTCCGTGAATTCACGAGATTGATCCAAGCTCCGCCCAGTTCTCTCTCTCTCTCTCTCACAAAGTACGTTTACAGTATATAACCTACATGTCCTGTAAATGACTTACCAGGTACACAGCCAAGCCTCCCTTTGAATGAGTAAATATCGAATCCTTTATTATATCTTTTAATTCATATACATGTATAGCTTATCAGCTTATCCGTACAATTCTCAGTAAAAAACATAGTAGCCAAGGAACAGCAAAAGAGTAGGTAAAATGACAAGATTCCAAGTTTATTATGTTCTGAATTTATCAGTGTCAACTTCTGAACTTTTTGTCCCTATTTTATGTTTGTTTCAATCTGTTTAACTGACAAAGATAGCATGATGTTAGTTTTTTGGGGGTTTGATTGGGGATAATAATCAACTTTTTAAATAAAAAATGTACTTTAAAAACAGCTTACTCTAAATTTGGTATTTTGGGTATAGTTTGAAAACAAAGTTAATTAAATTTTTGTTTGTAGAACTCTTTGTCTTCAAAAGTGATTATGGCCTATAAAAATCAGAGATCTGCGTCATCTTAGTTTTGTGTTAAATTTCAATCAACAGAAGGAAAGGCTTAATTGGTCAATTCAAGTCATACCTGTCAGACGTGTCCGAGTAGACCGTTCGTCTTGATATCATCTTAGTGGGAAAGTTAGAAAACTTTTGACTTGATTCGTTTTAAATGTGTGTGTTCTCCCAAAATCTCTAGAAGATATAAGCTAAAATTTAATTTTCAAGTTCTGTTTACTTGATGATAATGCAAGTATATTTATGCGATTCGAAGTCACGGTCTGGAGCTATTATTGATAACATTTTATAACAGAAAATAAAGAAGATGGTTCTGTTAGGCCCCTGCGAAGTGTTCATTCCTAAAGTAATTTAGTCTCATTTTCAGAAATTGTTGTGAATGAAATATGCAAGGTTTACCCTTCTCTAATATTTCCACATCCGGGCGAGTGTCAGTTGTATTACAATTGCTCTAAGACGTACCCACCTGTCCCCAGCTTTATGGAACAACACATGATGGAATGTAAATACCCAGATCTCTTCTCTGAGAGGACCCTTCAGTGTGAAAATTTCACTGACGTCTGCTGTGGAGGAAGAAAGGAACTAAAAGGTAAATGTAAGTTGCAAAAGAAAGCAATTCAAGGTAAGATAAATTGTTATATACATTTTGATATACATCTTTTGGATCAAACTTAAAACAGGTCCTTTCGAAAAAAAGATCAATATATAAAAAAGTTATTAACGTGTATTTTTCACAAAGGCTCCTATCGAAAGGAAAAGGATCCCAGTGGATATTGCTTTTCTGAATCATGTGTCAGACTACCAGATGGCATGATACCAATTTCCATGTACTCATACACTATATGCCTCAAAGGGCGCTTGATGGCTGAGGGTTCGTGTCGTTTGTTCGAGGAAGTTCCGTATAAGGGAAAGTGTAGAGATCGTTTTGAAGTACCCATAACGTACCCTGGAGGTCTTTTACCGTCTTGCAAGCAAAAAGCTGATGGTATTTATCGGTTTAACTATATCAGACCTGTGTTTGGGAGGGAAACGGAAGATTATTTTAGAATAGGCCATGCGTGTGATGCCTACTATCGATGTGACAGTGGAAATATAACTGTTGTCAGGTGTCCTCCTGGAACAGTGTTTCATTCTGATATCGGTGATTGTAAAACTGGTAACTCCTCTCTTCCACAAAGCTGTCAGTTGTATTGTAATCCAAACCAAAACGATGATTTCCCTGGGTGCTTTCCACCAAGAATTGTAGAATGCTACTATCCATCACAATTTTCCGAAAGGACAAAACAATGTGAAAATTTCACTGAAGTCAATTGTGGATCACGCTTGGAAGTTAAATATCAATGTGAGTATCTTTGATATGTAATGAAGAATCATGGAGAGGGATCGAAGGGGCTCTGATTTCCACTGATATGTTACATGCCGATGAAACGGAATGGTGTGTATGTGGGGGGAGCAGGTTTTATTCTCCTCTCTTAACTAAAACCTGAAAAATTATTTGAGTCTTCCAACCTGTCTTCAGTCATTCTGCCAAAAAAAGACTCCTCCTGATTTTAAGAGACCAGAAGGTAAAATCTAAGAGTCACAATTCATGTATTTTGTAAAATTGATATAAAATTCACTATAATACTCTCTATATCTAAAAACATAGGTTTTAAGGTATTCCAGTATAATAATCGATATTGGAGAATTTTGTACAAATATAGTCTTTTGATGAGCCTTTTGACCCCTGAATATATAGACCTTAGAGGAAGCATGTGCTTTCTCTAGGGTCTATATATTTAGGGATTGTACCGAATCAATAAGCTATATGTGTTTTATTATTATTTTTTTTTTTTTTTTTTTGCATATCAGTTAATAAGAAATATCTTAAAAATCCATGTTTCTCATATAAGGCATTTTTTATTGTGCTCATTATGACGTAACAATTACAAACTTAGCATGACTGGTGAAGAATCTTCCTGTGTATACTGACTATTATGAAATCATCACTATTTGTGTTTCATAGAAGATTTTTACCAGTTTTAGAAACACCAGGTTTATAAGCTTTTTAGAAGGTTTAAATAGAAACTCTAGTTTATAAGATGTTTTATTCTTGATCATGTGATCTAGTTTGAGCCAATCAGATAGATGGGAACCAAAGAGAAAATAATAGTACTGCATATCTTATCTTAATCAATGCTTTATTCGAAAATCATCAGATGAAAATATTTTTCATGATCATTTACAGTAAATAACATTGAATGCTACAAACATTTGTGATTATTTGACATCTATATTTTAAGTATTCCTCTACAAATAAGAACCTCAGTTTAATCCTTGCGATCCTTATATACAATGTATCTGCAGCGCTAGCTCAAAAATATCTCACCATGAACTTTTAGCATGCTGGAGTAGCATTGTTACAATACAGATATAAATACCATGTACACGTATCTCATTTTGACATTACCCTGGACTCTGATGACAGTGCAGTTATACAAAACAAAACAATCGCTTAGCATAACGAATAGTACTGCCTACTCTTTCTGTTGTCATAGTTTAGTGCATCTAAATACATGTTTTGCACTTCAATGGAGAAAATGTATCCCTGGTTTAATATTCCAAAAATGAACCCCGGGTCAATTTTCAACACGTCAAAATCCTTTCTTTATCCAGGCACATTTTCAGCAGTGTCCCCTTTAAGACTTCCTTTTCCAACAATAAAGTGCAAAGGTGTAATGTATGAACAAAGGGGATGATCTTCTTTTCCTAATAGTGTTCAGGTAGCGCCAACATATGCAACCCTCACTTTAGGCTACTTGGAAATAATACTTAAAATTGAACTTACCACAGTATGGGGAGAGGAATTTGCTAACTTCATAGAAAAAAAAAACTGGAAAATATTTTCGACAACTGCCTCATTGTTCGGCACGGCGGCATGGATAAATAATCCCAAATTCAAAAATGCTAAATTGATGAAACTTCAATATTCAATGCACCTTGCAAACTGTTCCTTTACTAGTAATCATATTGGACACAGCTTTTTACCAAAACTTGGGGAAATCTGAACTGCAAATCTTCCGATTTTGTCTACGGAATATAATGTACCCGTTGTGGGTTTATGTTGGTGAAATCAAGCGTTTACTTAATAAAAGAGTATAGGGCCATTGATTTCAAATTAACAACGGAGGCCAGCAGCTTCCCTGCAAGCAATTTAATAATTCTATTTTGTCAATGAAAGTTAGAATTCTAGAAAAAAAATCACCATCATACTAATAGCCAATCATTGAGTACACCTTTCCGTTTACAACGAGAAGAATACTGGTTTAGGAAACTAAGCACGGGCTTTCGACACGGTAGCAATGGCAATGTCGATAGTATTGGGAATCTTTCAAGTCCACAGTGTAGCAATTTGAATGTGATGGGACTTTTTAGCAATACTCAGAGCTGTAAGCGTAGTCATGGACATCGGTCGTGCAATAATTTAGGCTTTTTAAACCACCACCAGAATACTGCTCAATCAACCCATTTGTTCCTTAAACTTCAATTTGCCAACAAAGGAATTGACGCAATAAATATTAGTAAAATTCTTAATCTCAATAGGGTCCAGTATTACGGAAGTCCATTTAGGACCTATCAAAAAATATTTTTGAATTCGATATAACGAATTGTCGAATTTGTTATTACTAGGGATGTCAACGAGTATCCTGTTAACCGGTACTCGATCGAACGTCCGAGTATCGAATACTAAAAATGATACTCGGTTACTCGGAAGAGTATTTTTTCTAATTTCAAAGTACTTATTTTTATTTAACAAATTATCAAAAAATAACTTAAAACTGCATACGGTTATTAGCGTCATCTACACCTGTAAAAGCCCGTCATCGCCTGTGGCTGTGTATATACAGTAATTAGTGACCAATCATCTAGTACACAGCTGTTCTCACCTGTTGTGGTCCTTAATTTTTTTGATGGCTTCAATGAATGCTTACATCGATTCGATGGGGAGTGGTCTTGGTAGTATTGGTGTTACATGTATTTACCTGGAGAGCCCCAATACTCAAAATGTCAAAAATCCCTGTACGCGCTGCATTACACAGGAAGTCCGGCTTTTGATATTCAGGGCCAACAATACGCGTTTTGTGCACAATTTTGAGTGAAAAATATATTAATAAATTATGTACTAAAATATAAAATTTGTAGACTTAGCAGTTTCGTCGATATCTTTTGAAGAAAAAAAATTAAAAAGGAATATCTTTTTTTAAAAATCGTAAAATAAAAAAAAACGAGTGAAAACTACAAAGCAATCATATCAATATTTTAATCGCCATTAAAAGAAATTAGTATAGAATATTAAGTGTGAATATTGAAATAAAAAGATTCCACTTATTGTGTGGCCATTTACCACGATCGGAATATTATTTACTTTTCTGGCGAACATTCGCCATTTCCGAGGGTCCGTGTTCTTATGCCCTCTTTACAGATTTGGATATAAAAAGAATTTTTCGTAATTCATGGCGTTAGATGCACGATACTTTATTTATATTAGTGTAAATATCTTTTCTCATTTAATCCATTCCATTTTGTTATAATTTTCAATGGTGGGGTGGGGGTCGATTGTTTCCAATTAGGGCGAATTGAGTTTCTGAGTACCCAAGTGCAAGGTCAACAAAGGCATTACGTACATTCTTAAAATCAAGGCACAGGTTGAGTAAGGGGCTCGGAAGAATTATCGGTCTGTGCTGCTACAGAAACTTCTCTCTTTGGATCTCAGTTACTGAAGGAAGAGAGGCCTTGAATATCCGCTAATTTTTCTTCGAAATGTTCTACAGTTATCTTGGACGTCATATTGCTAACAAGTACAAAACAGCAGTGGAGATCGAAAAAAAAAAACACGAAGTCACTGTTTAATTATCTAATCTCAATTATATTTCAAAAATAAAATTATCAACCAATGTAACAGCGACATGCTTTTTTTTTAACCAGAGTGTATACAAAGCGACCATTCACGCGGCACATGAAAGCGTTTGACGCGTGACCAGGTAATTGTTTTCAAAACATGCAAACTCAGATTTTCAGGTAGCCCAAGGAGTTGGCCCGTCAATCAAATCAGAGGCTTTTGTTTTTTTAAGGATTGACAGGCGGTATATTATTGATCTTGAATCAGGTAGATTTTGGGGGCGTTAACATAAAATGGGGTGTTTCAGTATGGTCTATTATCTTCAAATCATCATATAACTTATAACGATTTTAATTCGTTATAAGAATTTCTTTGAATTCGCTATAACAAATTAAATTTATAATAACAAATTAATTAAATTCGTTGCAACGAATTTAAAAGAAATTGTTATTACGAATCAGTTTGTTTGTTTGTTTGTTGTTTAACGTCCCTCTCGAGAATTTTTCACTCATATGGAGACACCACCACTTACCGATGGAGAGCTGCAAATTTTGACCTATACTCGGCACTCAGGGCCATTGAGCAGTGAGGGATTTTTTCGTGCCAGCATCTACTGCGACACGGGACCTCGGTTTATACGATCTCATCCGAAGGACCGGTCACCACGTCCCACAGTGGGATTCGAACCCGCCACTTAAGGATAAACTCCTTACTCCGCGACTCTAGAGCAGAACGCTCTACCACTGCGCCATGTGGGCTTATTACGAATTTAATTCGTTTAAACGAATTCTAAAATTTGTTATCATGAATTAAATTCGGTTAAACTAATTCTTAAATTTGTTATTCCGATTTAAATTTGTGTAATCAAATTCAACAATCGGGGCCTATAGAAAAATATATATGAATTCGATATGACGATTTGTCGAATTCGTTTTAACAAATTTAATTCGTTATAACAAGTTTTAGAATTTGTCATAACAAATTTAATTCGTTATAACAAGTTTAAGAATTTGTCATAACAAATTTAATTCGTTATAACAAAAATTTGAATTCGTTATAACGAATTCAACGAATTTGTTATGACAGATTAAATTCGTTATAACGAATTCAGAGAATTGTTATAACGAATCAAAATCGTTATAACAAATTTGACAATTCGTTAAATCGAATTCAAAAATATTTTTTGATAGGTCCTAAATGGGCTTCCGTACCAGTCTTGTATTCAACCACATTTCAATTTTAAGTACACACCTTGTATTTCCTACAAATGTACACTGAATATATTTCTTCCAAACTATTTAATTACAAAAAAAACCTCTACATTGCCTAGATATCGAACATCAGAGACATAATCCTTCTACATGTTCATGTTCTTCTTCACCCTACAACTATAGTCCTGTTGGACACGTCATTAATGGTAATGTAAATATAGTTAATAATGAGGACCTTAAATCGCTTATTTTAAAAAGGCAACA